TTTCACTACTGCTTGTATAGTAACTACAGTTACTGTCACTACTGCTTGTATAGTAACTGAAGTTACTTTCACTACTGCTTGTATAGTAACTAAAGTTACTGTCACTGCAACTTGTATAGTAACTAAAGTTACTGTCACTGCAACTTGTATAGTAACTAAAGTTACTGTCACTGCTGCTTGCATAGTAATTAAAGTTACTGTCACTGCTGCTTGCATAGTAATTAAAGTTACTGTCACTGCCAGTTGTATAGTAACTACAATTACTTTCACTGTTGCTTATATAGTAACTAAAGTTACTGTCACTGCCACTTGTATAGTAACTAAAGTTACTGTCACTGCTACTTGTATAGTAACTAAAGTTACTGTCACTGCTACTTGTATAGTAACTAAAGTTACTGTCACTGCTGCTTGTATAGTAACTACAGTTACTTTCACTGTTGCTTGTATAGTAATTAAAGTTACTGTTACTACTGCTTGTATATTAACTAAGGTTACTTTCACTACTGCTTGTATGGTAACTAAAGTTACTGTCACTGCTGCTTGCATAGTAATTAAAAGTTACTTTCACTGCTGCTTCTATAGTAATTAAAAGTTACTTTCACTGCTGCTTCTATAGTAATTAAAGTTACTTTCACTGTTCCTTGTATAACATAATTTTTCACTTTCTCAGACTTAGTTTCTTTCCTTGATATTAATTTTTGTATATCTGATCTTCAAACCATGTATGTTTTCCTTTCTAATTATAGAATCAAAGAGTTACATGATGCATCAACTTTTTTCTTTTCTTTTCTTTTCTTTTCTCTTTGTATTTTTGTTTTATTGTATAGGTGTTTTCTGATGTTTAAATTTAACAAAAGAATTTTAAGAGTTTTCCTCAATTTGTGCTAATTACTTTTCAATGTATATGTTTAACTCAAGTTTGAAATCCAGAAATTTGTTGTAACAAGAATTTATTCATCAACAAATGAGTGAACATTGTAATAAAACAACAACGAACTCAAATATTTGTTTTCAGCAAAACCACGAACTTCGCACCAACCTCCAGATGTTCTCAACCTATAATATTTTGCCCCCAAGCTCTGATGTAGAGGAAGGAGGTTTTGTGCACCTCCCCTTTAAACAAGAGTTCCAAGAGAAACCATCAATGTGGACAACTAAAGTGGTTCGTTATATAAATTTACTTCTGGTTTATATTGTAACTAGCATATAGCCTGTCTGAAATGATGGGGCAACTACCCCCACCTCATAGTATACCCTAACCTCACATTTCTTAGCTAACTGGAATAAATAAATTTTGTGAAATCAAGCTTGACAAACAAAGAGGCAGAAAAGTACAGTCGAGGCAGTCAAAGTTTGATAAATTCCTTTGTGAGCCAATCAAAATTAAAATCTTTCATGAAATTAATTTGTAATGTATTCATAGGATAATTATTGGTAAGAATCAGTTACATTAAAAACTTCTAATATATATAGAAAAGCCAGTGTGTTTTGGTAACACTATGTTTCAACAATGTCTTTTATGTCATGTTGCTTAGCTGTAAAAGTGTAACTTAATATTGTATAACTGGAAAAATATTGTCCAAAAATAGTCCCCATTGATTAAAGCGTTTTTTTTTTTTAAACGTTGGTGATATAACAGAAAATAGCTTATTTCAGAAAAGATTTAAGTTTAAAATTGAATAGATATTTTTACTTTCATGATAAATTTTCTGCATGTCTTTACTTTAGGCTTATTATACCAACCCTCACTACACTTATAAAGTTTCAAGACACCACCATTCCCTCACTGCCCTTTTGCACCATCATCATCAAAATAGTAATGGGCAGACAGTAATTGGACTATTCTATCTAGATAAATGTAATTTGGCTTTTATGACTCCTGTTTCAAGAAATCAAGCATGATGTGACATGACACACTCTGGCTTTTATATAAGATAGATGCATGTTCACAAATTAGTTGAAATGTTAATGTCAACAAAGATATTCCACCAGTAGAGTCATATCATAATGAGATAGCAAGTAACCATACAGAGACAGAAGAGTTTTGATTCCAAGTTTTATACAGTAATGGAATAATTATGGTTGTAAGTTTTATACGGTAGTAGATTAACTGTGGTTGTAAGTTTTATACAGTAGTAGATTAACTGTGATTCTAAGTTTTATACAGTAGTGGATTAACTGTGATTCTAAGTTTTATACAGTAGTGGATTAACTGTGATTCTAAGTTTTATACAGAAGTGGATTAACTGTGATTCTAAGTTTTATACAGTAATTGAATAACTGTGGTTGTAAGTTTTATACAGTAATTGAATAACTATGGTTGTAAATTTTATACAGTAGTGGAATAACTGTGATTCTAAGTTTTATACAGTAATTGAAAAACTGTGGTTCTAAGTTTTATACAGTAGCAGATTAACTGTGATTCTAAGTTTTATACAGTAATTGAATAACTGTGGTTGTAAGTTTTATACAGTAGTGGATTAACTGTGGTTCTAAGTTTTATACAGTAGCAGATTAACTGTGATTCTAAGTTTTATACAGTAGTGGATTAACTGTGATTCTAAGTTTTATACAGTAATTGAATAACTGTGGTTGTAAGTTTTATACAGTAATTGAATAACTGTGGTTGTAAATTTTATACAGTAGTGGAATAACTGTGATTGTAAATTTTATACAGTAGTGGAATAACTGTGATTGTAAATTTTATACAGTAGTGGAATAACTGTGATTCTAAGTTTTATACAGTAATTGAAAAACTGTGATTCTAAGTTTTATACAGTAGCAGATTAACTGTGATTCTAAGTTTTATACAGTAGCAGATTAACTGTGATTCTAAGTTTTATACAGTAGCAGATTAACTGTGATTCTAAGTT